TCTTTTTCAAAGTAATATGCTAGAAATACACCATAAATATTTATTATTGAAAGGACAGTATGTTTAGAGTATTCTGTAAAATGCTCCAGCAAAAACAAACACATGAAACAAGAAGGGTAGAATTTCAATAATGGTCATGTTGGGTGGAGGGGACCTTCTGGATATTTGAAAGTTTCCATAATAATTTTGAAAAATAATGTTAATATTGTGTCAGATACAGTAAGATTGGCACAGTTTAGAGCAGGATTTAGGGCTGTTGTACATAGGGTCACTATGAGTTGAAGGCAACACGACAGCATGTAACAACAACAATGCTAATAGCAATATGTAGAGTAGCCCACTGACCTTGAGTGAATTTCAACCCGCGATGAGCCTGAGTCACTAAGTGCAGCTGCTCCATAGAGTTTTCTTCCCGGTAGCCTTTACAGAAGCAGATTGGGAGGCGGAGGGAAGCAGCAGATTGCCAGACCTTTTTTCTGTGAAAGAAACCCACCAAGTGGGTTTGAACCCTTAACTTTAGTTTACTAGTTGAGTGCAAACTATTTGTGCCATCAATGGAGATAATATGCAAAGTATTTCTAAGAATTCATAGCCATATGCATTTATGAGTGAAGATATAGAGCTTAACAGCAAATGGAAAGTTGTGTGGCCATATCTTTCATGGTCCCTTGACAAAAGGCTTTACCCCAAAAAAGAAAAGATGAACTGGTGACTACCTCTCACAACACAGACTGCCCTCCCCAGAGCTTGTGGTAAACACTGATGAACTGCTTTAATAAAATGAACTGCTGTTTATAAAATATTTCTATTGCTTCTATTTCTGAGCCAAAGTGAAAGTGCACTTTCCTGCCCCCTTGTGGTTGTTTAAGGGCATGTGATTCGTACAAACTGATGTGTTGAGGACAAAAAAATTGTTGCTTCTGGACAGGAGCAATTAATTACCGATATAAGACCCTTCAGAACTCTTTTTTTTTTTCCTTTATGGCATGGTGGTCAACACTGAGAAAGTGGCTATTCTATCAGTCTTTGTTCCTGAGTGATTGAGATAGAAGAACCTGCTTGTTGATAATGATGCGAAGGTAGCTTGAATAAGAAAGAAACATTTGCTGTCCTAAGCCACTGAAATTTGTGTTATTTCTTAGCATAGCATAGTTTTGTTTATTATTATCAGTGCAGTGACATATAGAACCATTCATACAGACTCTCTGGTAAAAATCAGGATGATAATTAGAAGGAATATTACACTAATTTGTATTATGCTGTGATTAACTGTCATTGAGTTGACCCCAGAGGCATGTCAAACCAATATACCACGTAACCAAATACTGTCTAGTGTTGCACCATCCGCATGGCAGGTTGTTGATGGTGCTGTTGCAATCCATAGTGTTTTCATTGGCTTATTTTCTATAGATTGTTAGGTTGGTTGGTTTGTTTTTCTCCTAGTCCATCTTAATCTGGGCTTTCCTCTGAAACCTGTTTAGCATAATGGCAATATGCAAGTCACGTCTGATAGGTTCAAGAAGCTAGACTACACAAAGAAGAATGTGGAAGTGTGGTATCAGAACTGGAGGAAGACTTCTCAACAACCTACCTGATGCAAATAATGTAATCTTGCTCGAAGAAAGCGAAGACCTTAAGTACTTACTGAAAAAGATCAAAGACTAAGGCTTTCAAAATGGTTTACATCTCAATATGAAGAAGACAAAAATCCTCACCACTGGACTAGCAGGCCAGTGAGAGATGAGAGAAAGATTAAAGTTGTCAACAATTTCCTTTCATTTGGTTCCACAATCAACACTCATGATGGCAGCAGTCAAGAAATAAAAAGTTAAAAAAAAAGAAATAAAAAGTTATCCTGGAGAAATCTACTAAGGACCTCTTCAAACTGCTAAGAGCAAGGATGTCAGTTTGTAGACTAAGGTGTCATTATCTTTTCAATTGCTTTCTTTTTTTTTTAATTGTTATTTTAATGCGAATTTACAGAAAACATGGTTTTCCTCTCATTCATTGTTGCACATTTTCCTCCCTACCTTTCCCCACAGTTTGCTTTTCTCTTTACAAATACTCTTTCCTTATTCCACAATTTCCTCCCCTTCCCCCAGACCACTTTGCTATGCACCTCTTATTCTGGGCTGTTGCACTAATACCTAATCATACTTTTAGACAGTTATTTCCCTCATCTTTTTAAACGCAGTGTTTATAATTTATCCTCTTTTCTTAGTTCCCCCCAACCCTCATGTCAGTCTTGTTTTATAACAGTGCCATTATGCAGTCTTTGTCCTTTTGTGACTGAGAAATTTCACTCAGCATAATGTTCTCCAGGATCTCCCATTTTGTGAAATATTTTATGAGTTCCTTGTTTTTCAGTGTTGTGTAGTATCCCACTGTGTGAATATATCACAGCTTCTCTATCCATTAGTTTGTTGGGGGACACATGGGTTATTTCCATTTCAACTGCTTTCTATGCATTTTTAAGGTGGGCTGTGTATAAGGAAGACTGAAGAAGAATCAATGGCTTTGGATTGTGGTGTTGGAGAAGAATACTGAATATCTCATAGATTGCTAAAGGAACAAACAATTCTGTCTTGAAAAAAGTACAATCAGGGTGCTCCTTAGAGGCAAAGATGGTGAAACTTCATTGAATATACTTTGGGGATTCTGTCAGGAGGGTCCAGTCCTTGGAAAAAGACATCATGCTCAGAGAGGTAGACAATCATCAAGAGAGAAGCTCTTCAACAAGATTGATTGACATAATGACTACAACAATGGCCCAAGCATATGACAAATTATGAGGATAATACAGAATAGGGCAAGTTTCAGATCTGTTGTTTATAGGGCTGCTATGAGTCTAGATGACTCGATGGCACCACACCATAACAACAACTAACGGTGGTTGGACATCAGATGCATTGGCCAGGAATCAAACCCGGTTCTCTCACATAAATGGCAAGAATTCTACTACAAACTACCAATGTCTCCCAGGTATATTATTGGTAGCTTTACTGGGAATCTCCTATCTGTCAAGCACTGAATGTAGGTTGTCTCAATTAACCTTTACGACAAATGTGAGAGGCAAATATCCTATGGCCCGGATGAGAAAACCAAGCCTTAGGAAAACGCACAATTGTTTTACTTGTGGTATGTTGGTTATTGAAGACGTTGTTCATTCTATAATTTGCTGTCTCATATAAAATCCCACAAAATTAATTCTCCCTAGACATTTTAGCAAGAATTCTTTTAGAAAGCAATTTTACATGTATCAAGTACATTAAAACATTCATGCCCTTTTCCTTACTCATGACTCTAGTCTGGGCTTTTTATAGTTAGTTAGATTTCTTGAATAAAAACCAGATTGCTCAGTTCCACAATCAACACTCTTAGCACTAGCAGTCAGGAAGTCAAAAGATGAATTACATAAGGAAAATCTGATGTCAATTATGCAACAGTGAATGAATTTTTTTTTAAGTGAACTGGGGGGGGTAGGGAGGAAAATGTGCAACAATGAATGAATGGAAATCCAATTTTTCTGTAAACTTTCATTAAAATCACAATTTTTTAAAAAGAAAATATACTGTCAGGGACCTCTCCATGGGGCTAAAGAGCAATGGTGTCAGTCTAAAGACTAAGGTGCATCTGATCCAGGCCATGATCTTCACAATTACTTGCTATGCATCAGAGAGCTGGACAATGATCAAGGATGACAAAAAAAAGAATTGCTATCTTTGAGATGTGGTGCTGGAGAAGAGTATTGAACACAACATGGACTGCCAAGAGAAAAAATAGATCTGTCCTGGAGAGGGTGAAACCTATTCTTTGGAGGCAAGGATTTTGAGACTCTGTCTCACATACTCTGGGCATGTAGCCAGGAGGGACCAGTCTTTGGGGAAGGATAGCATGCTTGGGAGGATCAAGGGAGAGTGCAGAAAAGGAAGATATAAAATAAGATAGATTGACACAATAACCGGAGTAATGAGGGTAGGTTTGTCAGAGACAGTGAGGTAGAGCAGGATTCAGAGCTATTGTGTACAGGGTCGCTATGAATGATCTTAGTCGCCTTAAAGGCACATAACAACAAAAATTAATCAACATTAGAGTTTGTCTCTTGAATTAATTAGTATCGTTCCTTAAGCCAAATGTTAAGAGCGTTTCTAGTACAATTCTTCACTTTCACCTTGGAGACCAAGCATGTAAACTTTAATAATCCAAATCCAGGCACAAATATCAGCCTTGCGGTGAAAGTGTTTGTGTTTAATTTCCTGTCAAATTTATTAACTCTGTGACTTTCCTGCCTTTAATAGTAGTCCATATGAACTTTGCTGAAAGATAGCTCCGACAGGCAACAAACATATTTTGAAGTTTTTTTAGATCCATCATATATTCTGTAGAATCAGGGGATACACCTCAGGGTATGAAGCGCTCCGGGCTGAGACAAACCAGAGCTGTCAGTGTGCCTGCGGCGCCCTCTTGTGACTTTGGGCCGCAACAAGACACTAAATTCTGAATCCATCTCCTGAGAGGCAGTGCACCAAATCGCCAATCTAGTCAGTCCCTCCCGTAACAATCGCCTATCTCCTGCTGGTTCACCCAATACCTGAAGGGGCTTCTACTCTTATTCTGTCTTCTTAGACGGGAGTTTGTCACGGTTGGTAACTCCGAGTCACAGCCAATACAGAAACTCTCCAAGTTATTTTATTGCAGTACATACAGATCAGTTAATGCACCTGGGCGAGGAGCCCCGCTTACTAGTCTCCTTGAGGTGACTGCATCCTTGCTTGCAGTCCCTCGGTCCACAGGTCCTTTCCAGACCCTCCTGGAGGCGCCACCACTTCCCCTCCTCGATGCCCGGCCAGCCGGGATCCCTTAGCTCACAGCCTGGATCAGGAAAGGCGTCTGGAGGGGCTGCTTCTTATGTGGTGAGAGGGGAGGTTTTCAGGAAAAGGGTAGCGAAGTACTCTGGCACGACTCCCAGACTTCGTTGCAAGCGGCTGTGCAGTGGGTTCCTATTTCTCCGCGTAGCAGTAGGTCCCGTAGGCTGCCAGTTGAGGGCTGGGGAAGCCAAAGCTGCGCACCCCAGGATCTGGGAGGCCCCCACAACGCGGCCGCGGCACAGTGATAGGGAAGCGCACGCTGCCGTCCGCCAGCCAGCCCCCGTCGCACTGGTCCAGTCCTGAGAACTTCCAGGCCGCGTAGAGGTGCCCGACCTTGGCCACCGCAGCCCCGTGCTGCTTGCATGCCGCGTGGGCTTCAGACAGTGTCAGTCGCCCGGGAACGAAGAACACGTGGCCTGAGGACAGTAGCCAGTCACCAACCGGCACAGAACAGGGCAGAGAACAGAGGGATTCAGACTCCAGGGTAGTGGAGTTGAGGGACAGGCTGGGGACCAAGCTCAGAGTAGGAGGAGGAGATTTACAGTAGCTTGAAGTAGTTGGGGCAGTGGGAGCCTGAATGACTGGGCCACGTGGGGGGCGGGGCCTTGAGATAATAAGACCGCCCCCTCCCCATCTCTTTGAGCGCTCTACCAACACCTGCTTATTCCCCGCTCCTATTCCCTAGGCTCCGCCCGCCCAGCAGCCCGGCCCACTCGTCCCGCCCCTCCTGTAATGATAGCCCCGCCTACACCCGGTAGGTCACGCCCCGGCCTCGCTCCTCCTCCCCCTCCCCCCCGCCCCTCACCGGCCAGCGCCGAGGAGAAGCAGAAGGCGTCATAGCGGTCTCGCTTCCAGTTGCGAGGTCCGTAGCTGCGGATCCCAGGTCGACCCTGGCCGCCGCAGGGAGTGCGCGCTGTGAGCACAGGGTAGCGCACCGAGCCATCGAGCAGCCAGCCTGCGTTACACCAGTCCAGACCTTCGGTCCATGCTGGCCAGATGTGGCAGGGGACAGAGGAATTATAGGCACCAGTAAGCAAAGTAAAGGCAGGTTTACTGTAGTCAACAAGTTAACATTCCCCCCTCGCCCCACTATATCAAATAACCTGCTTCTGGGTATGTTATCTAACTGTCTGCCTCCCAACACCAAACCACCTTCCTACAGAATCTAAAATTTTACAAACCTTAAGTGCAGTAAAGGTGATTTTACTTGCTCTTTTTAATCTCTACAGAACTGTTTGACGTGTTTTAGATCACATCAAAGATGTGGTGAGATTCTCTTGATTATTGAGTAATCTGCCCCTGTTGGCAGGACCCAGAATGAGACCTTGGAACGAGAGTGAAAGCGGTGCTTGGGGTTCACCACTCACCCTGGTAGAGCTGCGCGTAGGTGGCCAGGCGGCCGTCTTGCTCTTCACAGGCCTGCTTGGCCTCATAGTAATTGAACTGGTACCGGCCCCGGCTGGGCTGGTAGGGAAACACCACACCTGGGAGGTGGCAGAGAGTCTGGGGAGGAGGCAGCCTGCGAGAGGGGCCCTGGAGCCGCGAAGGTGACCGGGAAGTGCTGGGGGAGAAGGCTGGGGAGAACCAAGGCAAGGCACCGGGACTGTCGACGCAAGGGAGGAGCCCGAGGGAGTGGAAGAGCCTCACCCTCCAAGCGCAGGGTCAGCGCCACGCTCTCATCCTCGATGCCATTGATGAGCTCGCAGCGATAGCGGCCCTCGTCCTCCAGGCGCACGCCCGCGATGATGAGGGAGGCGTCCAGCCGATGCCCCCTCCGCATCCTCGCACGCCCCCCCAGGGGCCCATAGCCCCGGGCGTGGAGACCGTTGGTGATGAGGATCAGCGTTTCCCGGAGCTCCCCCGGCTCCACCTTGCTCCAGCGCACCTTGTAGCTGGGAGGCGGGGCGCCCAGGACGCAGGGTAGCGTGGCCGTGGCCCCACGGCGGGAGTGAATGACCTCGTGGATGGGGGGCAGGAGGTAGTGGGGGCCGGGGTGGGGCTCTGAGCAGAGGGGGCCACAGTGGCAGGAACCCCCTGACCCCCACTGCCCCTAGTGCCCATTCCAGCCCCTTCCTCCAGATGCGTTCCATGGGCTCCCCCAGTTCTCTCCTCCATTGCCTGCTCTGCTATTGCTCTCACTGCCTCGGTACTCACAAGGGCTGTCCTTTCCTCTCTCCTGAGTCCCTGGAGCCTCCCCCACAATGATTTCCCAGATTCTGGACTGGACTGGGGGCTTACCTGGGTCCCCCAGGGCTTTATGGAAGATGATGACGGTCCAAGGGAGAAGGAAGCTGCAGAACGCGGGGAGGATGAACCAGCCTGCCATGCTGGGAACTCTGTAAGAGGGATACAAACGGCAGGACTGAGGGGAAGGAAGCGGGATTCTTCAGAGGGGACCCTCCAGGTAGAAGCCATAGGGGCAGAAAAGGGCTGGCTGTCTTGACCTCTTCCATTACTTCCTTCCCTGGGAAGGATGGTCTGTCTCTTTAGGACATGTCTTTACTAGTAAATTGGTCTTTGCTTTTTACCTTAAAAAAAGGGGGAGCTGTCTTTGGTTGAAGGACAGTAACAAAATCCTTTAGGCCTCCTGGGGCCTCTCTTCTCTGAGAAGCAGTCAGTAAGTTCTGATTTAGCACCTCATCTATGGATTCCTTTCACATCACAACTGCTACTTTGCAAGTCTGTCCATCAGGACTTCCAGACTTTCTCCCAACTTCCAGCTCCTGACACTTCAGTTCTCCATCTGATGTGATCATGTCATCCACCTGCTGGTGATAGTGGCTGTCACTGCCCTGACCAAGTCCATCTTCTAACCAGCCTCTCCCACATCCCTGCCCTACACCAGCTCCACCCTCTGTCTGGTAGTCGAGGCAAGGTGGACTTCCAGCACTTCCCAAAAACGTCCACTTTGCCCTGACCTCCTTTTCATAGGCAGCAGACTGGGCCTGGGCCTTGATGCCTCCAGAAATCACTTTCTCAGTCCTCAGTTCGCCACACTGTATGCACTTTGATCTACTTGTCTAGTTTTCCTACTGGACAGCACTTGGGATTACTCGCCTCCAACCCTCCCTTAAAAGTACTTTTATTAGCAGTTAAAATTACAGGATAATATTGAAAGTAATACATAGGTATTTTTTATTAAATATAGTTAAGGCATGGTTTATCTTTCTCTTCATTTAAATTGTCTTCTCCAAGGATAAAATAGAACCATGAAATTTCACAGTAATTATAAAGCACTATTTTAAATGCAATTTTCTATTTTGGTAACCCATCTCCTCTCTCCTTTTTATTGTATCTATTCTTTATCGCTTTACCCTCCCCCTTTAAATTGAACAAGGGACCTCTTGACCTAGTTTTATGCTTTTTCCAAATTTGACTCCTCCACTTACTAATTGCAATGACTTTGAACAAATTACTTTTCTCTCCCTCGGTGTCTTCATTAGTGAAATGTGGGCAATAATAGTGCACCTGCCTCACTGTGTGGTTGTGGAGATTAGACGTGGTAATAGATGTAAAATGCTTCCAACAGTGTTTGATATTTAGTGAGTGTGCTGTACATATGTGTTCGCTCCCAGCGTAGTTTCTAGAACACTGTCTGGTTGATTCCAGCTCTCATAGTACCTCTGTAAGACAGCAGAGCTGTCCCATACTGCTTCTAGGTCTTTAAAGAAGCAGATTGCCACATCTTTCTTCCACAGAGAAGCTGATGGACTTGAATTACTGAGACTTCCAGTATCAGCCTAGTTCTTGACCACTGTGCTACCAGAGCTCCTTTACTAAGTGCTAAGTAAATGTGCACATTTTAATGAATAAATTAACACTGAAGATTTATGAGGAGAGTGTGCAGGAGAGAAAGGACACACTGAAGAGGAATAAGAAAGCTAAGAATCTGAGTTCTACCTTCCCGCAAATGAAAGCCAAAGATGAGCTTGATAGAAGAAATGGAGGTTAGACACATAAAGAACTTCCCAGTGGTTAAAAGTGAAAGTATCTGCAACAGGAGCATGGGCACGAAAACCCCTTATCCTTCACAGTGTAACCTGGTCAGGAAGAATGGTCGTGGGAATTGGGAAAGTGATTCAGAAACCCAAAATTATGATGATAGATAGATAGATAGATAGATAATAGATAGATTGATTTAACATATACTTAAATTTTAATATCTCACGTTGCTCTCAGTTCTTTATATCTAACACAACAACTACTGATGCAATCCCTAAGTCACAGTTCAAATCCACCAGACGCTCTGTGAGAGGATGGACCATTTCCTACCCCACGATTTACTACCTCTGAAAACCTGCTAGAGGGTCAGCTATGGGTCAGTTCCAACTTGGCAGCAAAAGAGAAAAACAATAACAACATATGCCTATCCATGTAAAACCTATATTGAGATCAAGAGACAGTCATGAGAACACAGCAAGGGAACACTGAATAGTTTAAGATCGAGAAATGGGGGTGGAGGGAGGAAAATGTGCAACAATGAATGAATGGAAATCCAAGTTTTCTGTAAACGTTCATTAAAATATAATAAAAAAGAAAATTAAAAAAATAATATCAAGAAAGATATGTGGCAGTGCTGTATCTTTCCCCTAAACCTATTCAATCTGTATGTTGAGCAAATCATTCAAGAAGCTAGACTCTATGAAGAAGAACGTGGCATCAGGATCAGAGGAAGACTCATCAACACCTAGGCTATGCAGACGACACAACTTTGCTTGCAGAAAGTGAGAAGGACTTGAAACATTTGCTGCAGAAGATCAAAATCTACAGTACTGATTACATCCCAATATCAAAAAGAGAAAAATCCTCATCACTGGGTCAGTACATAGGATCATGATGGAGAAAAGACTGAAATTGTCACAATCCCCATCCATGGTGCCAGCAGAAGACTAATTGCTTTGAGAAAGTCTACTGTCAGAGACCTCTCCAAATTACTGAGATGCAATGATGTCAGTTTAAAGGCAAAGGTACACCTGACTCAGGCCATTTTTTTCAGTCATTTTCTATGCATTTGAGAAATAGTGAATAAGGTTGACACAAAAAGAATCAATGCCTTTGAGTTGTGATGCTGGAGGAGAGTACTGAATATCCTATGGACTGCCAAGAGAACAAATAGATTTGTCTTGAAGAAAGTGTGGCCAACACACTCCTTAAAGGCAAGGATGGCAAAGCTTCATCTCACACACTTTGGGCATGTTGACAGGATGGGCTTATCCCCGGGAAAGATGGAGGGCCAATGAAAGAGAGGAGGAAGACCCTCAACAAGATGGATTGACACAGTGACTGCAGCAATGGGCTCAATTATGTCAGAGGTGATGAAGATGGCACAGGACAGGACAAGGTTCAGATCTGTTGTTCACAGGGTCACTGTGAGTCATACTTAACAGCAACCAACCACAGCATATATCTACCATTAATAGCTCTAGGGATCCGGTGGTAAGGAGTTGTACTGCCAACCCAAAAGTAGAAGTTTCAAGTCCACCAGCTGCTCTGCAGAAGATAGGAAATCTCCTCTGTGATTTATAGCTGCTGAAAACTCACTGAAGAGTCAGCCTGAGATAGTTCCAACTTGATGGCACATAACAACAATAATGTTTGAAGACAAACAATGTTTGTCTTCATATACATAGACATATGTTCATATATAACATTATATTCTTCAAAAAATCCTAAGAGCTAAGTACTATTATGAATTCCATTTTATGATAGGTGTACAAATATTAAGACATTTGAATGAAGTCACATACTAGAGAGTTTTTTGACATTTGTATCTAGATCTAATACTGTTTCAAAGCTTTAATTAACTGTTTTGTTTCAAGCTAAATAGCTCACTATTTCTCTATTCCAAATTAGGCACACACCCCAGAAAATTAAATACAGAACTATTGTATGGCTCAGCAATTTTACTTTTAGGTATGTGTCCAAAAGACTTGAAAGCAAGATAGCAATATTAATTGCTGCATCATCTATAATAATTAAAAGGTAGGAACAACCCAAGTGCCCATTGACATAAACGGTAAGTGGTACACATGTGCAAAGGAATATTAAGTCATAAAGATGGATGAAGTCCTGATAGATGCTATGACATGGATAGCATTGTGAAACATTGTGCTGGATGAAATAAATCATACCTCAAAAGACAAATATTCCTTATATAAATACCTAGAATAGGCAAATGCATAGAGATAGTAAGTTTATTAGTGGTTACCAGGAGCTGGAGTTGGGGAATAGTTACTGTTTAAAGAGGTTCTGGTTTCTGTCTGGAATAATAAGAAACCTTTGGAAACAGATAGTGGTGATGGTTGCTCAACATGGTGAATATCATTAGTGCCACTTACAAGTGGTTAAAATGGCAAATAGTTTGTTACATGCATTTTACCCCAATGAAACAAAAAGCAAGTATATGCATATCATCTTCATACCTCTTCATGAAAATGCTAGCGTGCCAACAGCTTCATTGCCTACCTGTTAGAAGTTGGTCTTTTCACAGAGATGAGGAGAACAATGGTTAGCAGCTTTTAGTCCTGCTTGAGGGTGAAGTTCCAGCTGAAGTGTTGCCTAGGCTCCTGAAACCTAGTAGGCGTGGTCTCTCCTTTTGCACCTTAGAAGAAAGTCTTCTTCCATGAGATCCAAGAAGCCAAGAAACTAAGCTCTGTCTGTCACCCCGTCACTCCACTAAGCCAGCTTAAGTAACTGGTGTTCAGTTCTAGAACATTGCATCTAGAAAGCTCCCTGCTGTGAGCCAGGAGAAGATACTGGGCTTGGGATGAACAGACAGTGGGCACCCTTGAAAAGGATGGAATGAAAACCTAGAAGAGTGCTAAAAGTGAGGATCTCTTTCTTTTGAGGCATTCTTGGGTCATAGGAATGGATTGACTGGTGAATGGGAGGGGGTTGGACCTATGAAGATGGAGATTGACTCTGAATGAAACCCATATGCTAAGTTCCAGTTGCCTCCACACTCCCATGTGGGCCTCATCCAAATAGCATCCTATATTCCCACCTCCTACCCCTCCTCCATAGGAACACACTAAGTCCTTACCTCCAGTCTCTGGTACCTGAGTTCAAATTGCCTGTGAGAATAGTCTTTCAAGGTGGGAACCAAATTTCTAAGACCTCCAGCTGCTTCAAGAAACTTGAACCCTTCTGCCCAGCCCCCTGTCTGTCTGTCCGTCTATCCTTTCCTTCTCTGTCCCCACTTGCCAGAAGAACAATTTCCCATTGTCTCTGTCTTTTCTCCTATTGTTGAATAACAGGGGCCCTTTCATTATCCTCTGGGTAATGTCAACGAAATGTCAACAGCTGGGGATGTGGGATGCAGGACCG